ACGCGCTGCGGAGTATTTTTGACGAACTTCGAGGTGTTTGGAAATGTGGTCAAACACTGTCTTGAGTGTTTGATATATCTTTTCAATCGAAACTAAAGTAAGGAGAAAACGGAGAAATAAAATCGTAAAAATCTATGCTAATTAAGATCAGATATCCAAACCTGTCTCGGTCATGATTTCCTTCGTTTAAACTTGATGAATTATTAATGAGTTTGAGAACTTCTTATCAAGTACTATGTGACAGCGGGATGGTGAGACTGCGGGAGCAGAATGATGTTGTTCCTGCAATCTATTACTGCTGCTGAAGAACCGAAACTCAAGATTTTTTTTTTGCTTTTTTCTTTATGAAGTTGCATTGTTCATTAAGTAAAGCCCGTAAGATTAAAGCTCTCAAAAGCTCTCTTTCGTCTGCGGCGCTGAACATGAATACATGAAAGCATGTCAAAGTCACCAAGGTGTGAAAAATCCGATGCACAATTCAGCATGCAAGAAGCACATGGCAACTGCTGCACAGTGTAAAACGACAAACCAGAAAAAGCATTAAAAAAGTCATCGAAATTTGTGCGAATACCTGCAAGCCCTGACGAAAAAATCTCAAAATGCTTGTTAAATTTCAGTGCGAACACATGAAAGTCTGTCAAAGCTACCGAGGTGCGAAATTAAGCAAGAAGCACATGGAAGCTGCACAAGTAAACGACAAAACTATCAGAGAGAATACGTCAAAGCATACACGATTGAAATTGTCAAAATGCTAATAAAATATTAGTGCGAATTGTTTGTTGTTTTTTTTTTTGCAAGACTTTCCCGTCCGCCAAAAGATCCGAACTGCGAAAATTATCCAACATAATGACAGACGACAATGCTATCAGAAACGGCACTTTTAAGCTTACAGTGTAACTTGTTTACGGCGAACCTGACATTATCAACCTATTTGCCGTAATATTTATATCTACAAAAGATTCCAATGAAATCGTCATCATGCACAACAGAAGTTCCCACTCACCTGAATGCCGCGGTGTCGAAATTGCGATGACCAATTTTCGATGTATGAAAATTCAGCCTAACACAACAGACCTAACCAGCACGAGGCTCTGGGGAATAAACCCCACAAACTCTGTAGTTATTCCCCAGAGCCTCGTACTGAGGTCTATAGTTTTAGGCTAAATTTTAACATATCGAAATTGGTCTATTCCGTCTTGTTATTGTCTTTGATTCATAGCGAGGCTTGACAAAATCTCGGTTTCGCCTCCATTTCTTTTAAATTCTGATTGTGAACTGCTGCTCCGCAGCCATTACACGCATTCCTGTCGATGTTCTTTTACGTCAGTTATTGTTTAAAAGGAAAATGAGTTGTTCAATTCGGTCGTACTTTTGGCGGAGATAAAAGATTTCCTCTTGGCCTTCGTTGATTGAAAAGCAAACTGAAAGATCGTACTGATTAGCTGCAGACTATCCATGCATAGACTTGCAATTTTTCTACCTCTCTCGGCAAGAATGCCAGTAACACAGTACTTTATCATTGACTCAGACAGCAGGGTGTATTCTCACGGGAGGTCGAACCGTAAAGTGCAAATTGGCAATAACACTGGTACCAACGATACGCAATGGTGACCTATTCATTACAATCCTGAGCAAAGGGCTTCAGCTCAAAGACTGTTATTGCTCGGAGCGAAAAATATTTGCCATGTTTTCTGTACGTGCCGGGTAGCGGTTTTTCCGTGAACCAAACATAAACCGCGACGGTATCTTTAGAATTTGCTGTGAACTTGAGCGCCGTTTTCAAGTTGATATGACCATCCTCGCAGAAAATTCGTCGTGTTAACCTGTGCGGTAGCGCTGCAAATAGAGAGAATGGAAAAAGAACCACCCAGAAAATGAAGCCGTTTATATACATTAAAGAATGATGTGGTTTGCAGTGATTTGTCAGCCAAAACGCTGTGTTATGCCAGGAAACAAACTCCAGCGAATCTTCGTTTTGTAGCTGTGTGGGAGTCAGTTCTCGCATCATTTGCTCGATGTCAACTCTAATGCAGTTTTTCTTTCTTGTTTCAATCTTTCTCTTAATGATCTTCAAGCTTTCACTGATCTTCTCCCTTAAACACCAGGTGGGAAGATCACAGCAAAGTCAATGTCAAACCCGTTCATATATAGCCTTAATTAGTTCTCTTTGCATTGGGTTCAACGATAACAAGTTTTTCTCGGACTTTAAAAGCAGTGTTTTAGCATTGGGGCAGTGATGTCGCCTCGTTACACACATCAATACGGGTTTTTCCAAAATGTTGCTTAACACGCTTAAATCGGCTTCAATCCTCAATGACACCATTTGCTTTTTCACATCCACCATGGTGTTCACTTGACTCATTGGACAAAAACTGTCGTTGCAAGATAAAACTGTGATTCTCTCTGGGTTGTACTCAATCCATCCTGGTTTAACTTCTGTGTCGAAATAAAAACAATCTTTTAACATTTGACTCTCTTGAATGCGTTTGATAACAAGGCAACGCAGACATGTAACAGGGCAAAAGATAACCGCATTGTCCATAATGTACAATCTCTCGGAATCTCTAGAAACTTTCAAGTTTTTTGGGCGATACCATACATCTTAACACTCCTAATGGAACTCTGATCTACTTCAACAGTTTAGAGACAAACAACATGAATGCCACTGGATTTAAGTCTGTCCAATTAAACAAAACAAAACAAAACAAAACCGGTGAAAAACCTGCTGTTTGATGCGCATCACCGAGTTCTTTAGCGTACAAGATTTTTTTTTGTCCAGAGGGATTTTACGCTCAGTTAGTAAACAGGATGTTATTAGAGAATTTTGGGTATTCTGGAGTGTTCTGATAAACGTTGCACTGAGCTTTTTACTACAAGCAATTGGTTTATATATTATGCCGTAAAACCCTACAACAAAACTGAAAAAGTACTAAATAAAAGTCACACTTCGGTGACAAACATAACAAAAAAACACAACGACAAGAATTGTTTTGACACGGTTTGCCACTGAATTTGACAAGGCCAGAGTACTTGTTCACGAACTGCAACTGACCGTACCACACAAGCAGGAGAAGTAATGGAAGAACTGGGTCTAAATTACTTGGCCACGGTTTCCGCAGTGTACATGATCCCGAGACATAATCAGGTGGCTATTTCCTGATCTTCAAATGAACTGTATATCAACGTGTGCTCTGAGCGTGAATAATAAATCATTCTGGACCTCTTGTGTTGAATAAAGCTCCTATACACGGTTGGTAATCTCATTTATAACGCCCCCTCCACACTATACGGAGTATTTGAAAACGGAGGTTTCACTCTGAAAACGCATCAAATGTTTTCCGTCGACACTACGCAGGAGGAATTTAAAAACGCAACAATCACCGCTCATTTTGGATTTGTGTTTGAGGAAAGGAAAATCACATGATTATCGTGACGCCATCGTTTTCGGAAAGCCCCGTTTTTCGTTCACACGAAAACGAAAAGCCAGCGTTTTCAAATTCCTCCAGTTTGAAGAGCATTTTCGAAAAGTTCCGTTTTCGTGTATGATTTTAATAGTGTGAACGGTAGGCCTATTAAACTATAGAAATAAATTAAATCTCGGGCGTAGTGTGGACCCTGCATACTGTAGCTGGCTCGTTGGCGGGAATATTGTCGAATATGAGCCTGCTGATAGGCAGCGGCTTAAGCCATTAGTGGTCTTCGTTGATCATTTGTTCCTTGTTTCAATCGTGCTTCCTTTTATTCTGTGAAATGTGCCATGGTATTTCGTAACATTTTGCATATTTAGGCCATTCAAGAATTATATGGAGCAAGAAGTCAGTGACATCTCCGAGACCGAGTTGTTTTCGTACTTTTTGTGGTGACGAGAAGCCTTCAATAATTTGTGACGAGCTTCATCACAAACTCTGAAAGATTTCATTCTTGCCAGACCAGTGAGTTTGACCCTTTCAACGATTACGAAATCGTAACAATTATCAAAGAATTATCATCCAGACGGGGTATTTGACGACAGATCCAGACAATCGATTACAATTGTACTTGATCTTTCATATATTCAGTTGTTTACGTACAGTGTACTTGAGTTTAGTGCTCAGTGGCTTAATTTCCTACGATCGCAGTCCATAAGGCGTTAAGTTTATTTTTATACAAGGAAAATGGTAGACTCTTCATCGTCTACAATGAGTGTGGATCTTAGCATTATGAAACGGATGGTCAAAGACTTCACGGCCGGAGCCATTGGAGGCACTGCATGTGTACTAGCCGGCCAACCTTTTGACACTATTAAGGTCAAGATGCAGACTTTCCCTTCGCTTTTTAAAAGTGCATTAGATTGCGGCGTGAAAACGATCAAACAAGAGGGATTCAAGGGGTTGTATGCTGGCACAATTCCCTCATTAGCCGCAAATATTGCGGAAAACTCTATTCTCTTCTTGTTCTATGGTCAGTGTTTAACAGTTGTGAAGAAAATTGTGGGAAAGCAAGATGAAAAGGAGTTGAGTGTATTAAACCGAGCATTTGCTGGGAGTGGAGCGGCAGTTTTCTCTTCGTTTGCTTTATGTCCGACGGAATTAGTTAAATGCAGGCTTCAAGCTCAACACCAAATGAATATTATGGCAGGGAAGACTGGAGTCAAGAGGTACTGACTCGTTATTTACTGCTATATTGAATTTAGTTCTAGGCATTGCCATAATGTCCACTTCATGGGTTCTCACTAGAGTGGCCTCCCCCTAGACCAACCAAGGGGGTATACGAGTTAAGTAGTTAAACAGGGGACTTTGGCGGGTTTTATGTGCCCCCTATACATGCCCCTTGGTTTCATTTTTCACTGACATGTAAATTTCCCCTTAATCCCTTATTTCTCCTCTTTGAAACTTCTAACAAAGTCTTGAATTTCCTGACTCTGATTAAAAGATTCCACATAATGCCCCTCCCCCCTGGGAGAGGGGGTGGGGAGGCGATACTCCCTCTAATGGCCTATACAGGGCGGCTTCGCCTGAAAGGAGTACAGGGTTGGACTTTGGGGCAGAGCCTCCCTGTATAAAACTTGCACAGTACCCCCTCTTCCCCTGGGCATAATGCCCCCACACTCCTCAATATTTCACCATGGGCTGGGATCAACTCTAGGGGAAAGCCGATAATATGAACACTGCATACAGTAAACTTAAATTAAAGAAATGTTATCTGGTTTGTGAAAATATTTACTGGGTGATTGATATATGGAAATAATAAAGTTCCAAAGTAGTAAGGTAACCTTTGAATGGTACGTCTATTTATGCACACATAAGTATCATACGATCTTCACTGTTTGAATCATTTTCCTCTTCAGCGGTGTAATGCAAGTGACAATGCAAATTATCCGTGAAGATGGCTTTTTGGGTCTTTTTCGTGGAATGATTCCAACATTGGTCCGTGAGGTGCCAGGGTACTTTTTCTTCTTTGGAGGCTATGAGCTGAGCCGTTACTTCCTTACACCAAAAGGAAAAACTGTTGATGACATTGGTGAGAATATTTCTATTTAATTGTCAACAGTTATCCAGCTTTCAGGTGAATAAAAGTTGACGTAAGGTGTGCAAGATCGATGGGTATTTTCTATTGTATTTTATAATTTTAACAGTCATTCAACCAGAGCCAACAATAATATTTATTACTTGCAAAAAATTTCGAATGATTTTAATTTTGGACAAGACAGTGTCTGAAAATAAAACCGTCTGAAATTTTTAAGCGTCTGAAATTTTAAGCATCCGAAACATATAATATTATTATTATAGTACAGTATTAAATTTTTAAGTAGTGCCAAAGCTCTAAGTTTCCTTTATGAAGTAAACTCTTGTTGAGACAATGCTTGAGAAACGTAACAGCTTGATAGAATTTGTGCTATTTTCTTGTCGGTGTATATGTTAAACCTTGAGGGTGCAGTTATGTAAAACTATAATTTTCATCGATGCTATGTCAGTCTAATAAATTTGAGTTTTCTAGGCGTAAATTCATGTCAGCTATGTTTCATCGCAGTGTCTGAAATTTGTGTCCAAAATGTTTCCGAAATGAGATAGAAAGTGTCCAAAAATTAAATGTCCGAAATAAAAGTCCGAAATTTTAATGTCCTAAATTTTTTGCAAGTAATGTACCCTGTAAGTTTTTTTTCATGTCATATATATAGCAAGGCCTACATTAAATCATAAATATTTCATTACACATTGCCTTGGCAGGTGCTGTAGGACTTATTTTTTCTGGTGGTATGGCAGGTGTCTCTCTCTGGCTTGCGATATTTCCTGCTGATGTTATTAAGTCTCGTATTCAGGTACCACTATACATGTACTTCATTATTATTTCATCTGTTATCTTATCCTCCAGTCTCATGCTCCTCATTTGAAGGGATGTGTGGAAAAAACTCTAAATGACTCTTGATCTCATTTCAAATTCTCCTTTTTTGTACAAGGAAGAGAAAAGCAGTATGCTAGGAGAATCTTGCAGTCTATCAGATGCCACTTAAAGTCTTTTTCGATGTATCCCTTCATCAATCTGGTGGTAGTTTCCATGGTCACTCGTTTTTGCTCATATGAAATCAGATTCGTAACTAAAGATGCTCTAAGCATCATAGTTTTACCAAATGCTTCTCTTTTGACAGATATTAACTCAGGGCTCTGATAAAGTACCAGGATTCTTTGAAACTGGCATTAAGATTCTTCGCAATGAAGGTTTGTGGATTTGAATCACACTGTTTACCTGATGTCCCATTTATCTTAGTGGCTGCAAGTCATTAGCACAAACATGCCTTTAGTAAATTACATAATATCATTCAATTGTACTGGACAAAGTGTTTGCCCCCAGATCACATATTTATTGTTTTTATGTTCAAAAGATAAGAGATGATTAACTTTTGGGCACTTTGTAGAAACTAAACAAATACATTTTTTATGTCTGAACTTGGCAGAAAGTAGTTTTTCTTCCATCTTAGATGGGTAGAGGTGAACTCTGAGAATAAGTCATTCTCAACCCTTAACAAATACATCCTCAGTCCATACAGAATGCAATGTGCTAAGTAAACATATAAGACATGTAGACACACATGGGAAATGATGCGCTGATGCGCATTACAAGTGGGGCCTGATTTTGGAATATGGGTATTCATTAGGGAAAAAACCCCAATATATTTATTTTATTTGGTGGGGTTCGGAGGGGGAGGAGGAGGTGCAGGCCATTGTAGGGAGTAAGACTGAATTGAATTATAGCAGAGTAGGTTACATATCCTTGTGAGTAACAATGACTTTTCTCAACAGGGCCAAGAGCTCTGTACAAGGGTCTGGGACCAACACTGGTGCGATGCTTTCCTGCATGTGGAGCTCTGTTTGTGGCTTATGAAGGAACACAGAAACTTTTGAACAATGTATAGATCATACACTTCTTAACAGTGGTTTCCAATTATTGTTTTATATTTAGATTTTAGCTTAGTATTATTGAAGTGCCAAGCACTTGAAAGCACAATGTAATCCAGTCAATTATTTTTAATTAATTTTCTCCTTAATGGTGGAGAGAACAGGTTTAGTCTGATTTGAAAGAGCACCAATGTGCAAAAACTAATTAAGTCATCAAAGTTAACAAATTCAAACCAAAGCAGACTTGTGAAGTACATCCACAGTCAACTCGTAGTCTTTGTAAATTATTTTATATTGTTTATTTGTGTCATTGTTTGTCCCTTTCCCTGTATCTCTCTTTCTTTAGGACAAGATATTTAACATTTTGCTCGAGGCAAACTTAACAAAAAAAAAAAATTATATCATGGGAACATGCAAGAATTGTAATAAGAAATAAATGATTTACAGCTTCAATGCAGCTTTAAAGAAAATAATATTTTGGAAGAAATTGTCCTGGCCTGGGAAATTATCACAAGCACAATATTGTGGCTTATATTTTTTTGAATTAATGCACTGCAAGCTTAGTTTATTACTGTGTATTTGGGTTTTCAAAGTGTGCAAAAAAGAAATCTGGTAAAATATAATATCAAGATTATGTTTATCGCAAGTGAATAGTTAATGTAAGTGTCAATTACTTGGTCTAGTTTGGAGTTACTGCTCATTTGGGTAGTGTAGAATATTAGCAGAAAAAAGCAGTACTTATACATGAGATTTCCATGAAAGTTTAGCCTAAGTGTGGAATGTTGAAATTCACAGTGACCATTTTGAAAATGTATTTCAGCAAATTTTAATTTGTGTATTATGATCACTGCCCAGAAATGTTTTTCTAGTTCAGTATATCAATCAGATGAGATGAAGTCACAAGTTTTGGACTGATTAACTGTAAAAGTGTCACTAATGTAGTTAACCTGTTAAATACTAAATGTCGAGAGTGATTGGGATTTAGTTTGTTCTCATATTATATCATTACATGTATAATGAAGCAAACTGCACATTTCCCCCCAATAAGAGCAAGAGAAATGAATCAAGGCCAGTAGAAAAAAATAACTAACCAGTGATTGAAATGACAAGGAGTTATTTCTAATCTCCCTGGATTGGAAGTTAGTCCATCTTATTTTTCTCATTTCGACTGTACTGTATACCAGCCGGTACCAGACAAACTTAGGTTCTTGCCTCAGAAAAAATTGTGAATTTATTTATTTCAGATTCCTGTAAAGGATATGCATTTAAGAAAATGAATAAATACAAAACAGTGTATAAGAGAAGTTATTTTTCTGATATTGCCTTTGAATTTTTTTTTTGTCTGGTTTAAACTCTGCCATTTATACGACTAGGTGGAGAGCAAAGAGCAGTGAGAGGAAGTGTTATCCTAGAACACAACACAGTGATGCAGCCAGGGCTTGAAGCCAAAGGCCAGGACACTAAGCTTTGGGCCTCAATGCCTCCCACAATAAACAATAAATTGAAATTTAACTTATTTTCAATTTGACAAGCACTGAGTATAATCAGTAAGGTCCTCCATTTTGTACACTGACTATACTGGTTCCTGTTATAAAATTCATTTAATATATTGGACGCACTTGCAGGGCATTATTGTGCTTATATGGGAATGCGAGCACAGTCGAACCCCTATTAAGCAGCCACCCTAGTGGAAATGGGAGGTGACTGCTTAATTAGGGCTTGGCTGCTTGATAGGGGTTTGTTTACATTTTAGTATTTTCACCATTGGGTTAATTTCGTAGTGAACATGGAGTCACTTCAAGTCAGTCATGATAAACGTGTGTTTGAATGTTTTTATCACTTTTCACCTTCTATTTTGGACTCTTATCTGCCATTGCCTCTTCCAAAAAAAAGTTAATTTATGTGTCTATTTAAATTTTGAGTGGGCATTTAATAAAGATAAAGACAATGGAAAACCCCCATCATGATGTCCAAAAGGTGGCCACGGCCGCTTAATAGTGGTAGGGCTTTTATTTACAGTATTTTACGGACAATAATTTCTGGACTGCTTAATAGGGGGTGGCTGCTAAATAAGGGGTGGCTGCTTAATAAGGGTTCCACTATATTTCTTTAATGTTTAAACATGTCTAAGACAAAGAGTTAGCTTAAATATTATTGTCTACCATTCAGCAACTAGATGCAGGAGAACAACATTTGAAAACACACAAAAAAAGTAACTTCTCTATGATATTCCAACAGACTTTGACACGATTGGGGCTACAAGGCATAATCTTGATAAGAAGTACTACCCCGTTAAAATAAATAAAATAATAGAACTATTCTTATGCTAGCTAATCCAAAGGGTTGATCTAGATGACCAGCAATGCAACTCTGAGATTTATTTTGTGGAAAAAAAAAAAACCCAGCAAATTACCTACCCTGATGGTAAAATGAGCTGATATTTTTGTAATCCAAATGCTGGATATGTTATTGTGTCAACTTTTTTTTCATAGTAATAAGTTACATGTAGGAGATAAGAATCATAACTTGAAGGCATAAATATTATGATTTTCAGTTGGAACCTCGGCATCCAATATGACAGTCAAAAAAACATTTTTAACCTGGCATACATTATTAACATATGACGAACTTTATAGACTGGGTGACTCAAAATCCCATGCTAATGTTACCAACTTCAAGATTTGTGACTTGACATCCCACTTTACTGTTTACAGTTGTTGGTGTTCATAACTGCAAAGTCGGATGTTGCAAATATACAGTTGGATATTGAGTTACACATTTGTTCTGGGCGTGGATGAAACATAACATGCCTTCTTCTCTAAAATAAATAAAGCTATTGTTTTGGGTGATTAGACACCTGAAGGTCAATATGGTAAATATTTATCGCATTGTACTAAAATTGGCGCCAAAGTCTGACGTAACCTTGGATTCAAACGGAAGCCACGTGGCATGTTAGGAGTCGAGGAATCTAAACAAAAAAATATAATTTTTGTGATCAATATAACTTTGATTACAATTAATCTCTTTCTAAGACTACACTGAAACTAAAATAAGGGTTCCTCTGTATTCTCTATTTTGTCGTTGTTCACCGTGTCCCGTTTTTGCCAAGCTCTTTCGCTCGTTCTGTGGCGGCGTTAACAGCCTTCATCAGAGCTCCTCGAAAACCACACTCCTCAAGGGCATTTATCCCTGCGATTGTTGACCCCCCGGCGGAACAGACGGCATCTTTAAGTTCCCCAGGATGTTGTCCACTTTCTAACACCATTTTAGCCGCTCCAGCACACGTTTTCGCCGCTAATTTCATGGCCTCTTGGCGATTCAATCCAGCTCTCACAGCGCCATCCGCGAGAGCTTCGATCGCGAGGTACAGGTAAGCAGGTCCACCACCAGTTAACGCAGTCATCACATCCATTAGTTCTTCCTCCACATCAAAGCAATATCCCACAGAGGACATCAGCTGATGAACAAACGTGTAATCATCATCCCGAGCAAATTTTCCGAATGTTACAGCCGTGACTCCCTCGCGAAATTGCACTGGAGTGTTTAGCATCATACGAACCACGCGACTTCGGCCGGGCAAGTAATTTTGCAGATAATCCAAAGTCACTCCAGCCGCTATTGATGCTACCATATGATTTCTTGTTACCACAGGAGAAATTTCCTTTAAAACTTCAGGGAAAACTTTGGCTTTTATCGCGAGGAAAACGAAGTTACTTTCTTTCATGATAATTTTGTTGTCGTTAGTCACGTTACAGCCCATTGAACGAAACTGGTTCAAGTCTCTTTCTGACGGAGCGCTGGCAAAAATTTCGTTTGCTTTGATTATCCCGGCGGATAAAAATCCTTTAGCAAGAACTTGTGCGGCCTTGCCCCCGCCAATAAAACCTAACGACGAAATCAAACTCATGACTGCCGGACAGAAGATTACAAATCTACCGATCAATTACTCGACTTGTTCTTTTACCGAAGACAAAGAAGGTTGTGCAATGATCCGTCCAATGAAAACTCGCGCATTTTCTTGGACAGCCAATTAAAACATGGTACATGACAGCAGTTAAAGATGGCTTTGTTACATCTAATATTTTGTCACGCAAAAAAACAACCACAAATGGTTTATCTCCTCAGATCAGCTTTTTTTGGAGACAGGAATCTCACTTTTCGAGACTTAGGGCTACTGAAAGTAAATTCTACTCAAGATTAGGCGAGGAGCTGTTTTCAAGGAGTCTGCTTTCACTTAGATGCAATATACTGAACTATACTGACCGCGATACTCAAATAATTGGTATGAAAATAATTGCATTATCTTTCAAAGACAACAAAGGCATAATAGCTTCCATGTGACCAATATAATAAATTTCCTCGTTCATTCCTGTAGATATGTGATAAAATTTTCTTAAAAAGGCAGTTACGACGACAATGTTTTATGTTAATATCGATATATGTATGCTGAAAAAGAAGAAAGAGGTATTTTTCTTTTGAAATCTTGATTTCATTAACACCAGAAGTCAATATAGAAAACAAGTTTTACATTTCTGTAGACAATCGTTTTTGGTAGAAACAATGCACTTAACAAACGTCTAGCTGCGTAGGTTGGGGTGGTTATAGTTGTGGCGCCATGATTACGGTTCGTCATCAGAAAATGCCCCAAAGCAGAATAGAACAGAAGTTATTCAGGCNTGGGGCAGAGCCTCCCTGTATAAAACTTGCACAGTACCCCCTCTTCCCCTGGGCATAATGCCCCCACACTCCTCAATATTTCACCATGGGCTGGGATCAACTCTAGGGGAAAGCCGATAATATGAACACTGCATACAGTAAACTTAAATTAAAGAAATGTTATCTGGTTTGTGAAAATATTTACTGGGTGATTGATATATGGAAATAATAAAGTTCCAAAGTAGTAAGGTAACCTTTGAATGGTACGTCTATTTATGCACACATAAGTATCATACGATCTTCACTGTTTGAATCATTTTCCTCTTCAGCGGTGTAATGCAAGTGACAATGCAAATTATCCGTGAAGATGGCTTTTTGGGTCTTTTTCGTGGAATGATTCCAACATTGGTCCGTGAGGTGCCAGGGTACTTTTTCTTCTTTGGAGGCTATGAGCTGAGCCGTTACTTCCTTACACCAAAAGGAAAAACTGTTGATGACATTGGTGAGAATATTTCTATTTAATTGTCAACAGTTATCCAGCTTTCAGGTGAATAAAAGTTGACGTAAGGTGTGCAAGATCGATGGGTATTTTCTATTGTATTTTATAATTTTAACAGTCATTCAACCAGAGCCAACAATAATATTTATTACTTGCAAAAAATTTCGAATGATTTTAATTTTGGACAAGACAGTGTCTGAAAATAAAACCGTCTGAAATTTTTAAGCATCTGAAATTTTAAGCATCCGAAACATATAATATTATTATTATAGTACAGTATTAAATTTTTAAGTAGTGCCAAAGCTCTAAGTTTCCTTTATGAAGTAAACTCTTGTTGAGACAATGCTTGAGAAACGTAACAGCTTGATAGAATTTGTGCTATTTTCTTGTCGGTGTATATGTTAAACCTTGAGGGTGCAGTTATGTAAAACTATAATTTTCATCGATGCTATGTCAGTCTAATAAATTTGAGTTTTCTAGGCGTAAATTCATGTCAGCTATGTTTCATCGCAGTGTCTGAAATTTGTGTCCAAAATGTTTCCGAAATGAGATAGAAAGTGTCCAAAAATTAAATGTCCGAAATAAAAGTCCGAAATTTTAATGTCCTAAATTTTTTGCAAGTAATGTACCCTGTAAGTTTTTTTTCATGTCATATATATAGCAAGGCCTACATTAAATCATAAATATTTCATTACACATTGCCTTGGCAGGTGCTGTAGGACTTATTTTTTCTGGTGGTATGGCAGGTGTCTCTCTCTGGCTTGCGATATTTCCTGCTGATGTTATTAAGTCTCGTATTCAGGTACCACTATACATGTACTTCATTATTATTTCATCTGTTATCTTATCCTCCAGTCTCATGCTCCTCATTTGAAGGGATGTGTGGAAAAAACTCTAAATGACTCTTGATCTCATTTCAAATTCTCCTTTTTTGTACAAGGAAGAGAAAAGCAGTATGCTAGGAGAATCTTGCAGTCTATCAGATGCCACTTAAAGTCTTTTTCGATGTATCCCTTCATCAATCTGGTGGTAGTTTCCATGGTCACTCGTTTTTGCTCATATGAAATCAGATTCGTAACTAAAGATGCTCTAAGCATCATAGTTTTACCAAATGCTTCTCTTTTGACAGATATTAACTCAGGGCTCTGATAAAGTACCAGGATTCTTTGAAACTGGCATTAAGATTCTTCGCAATGAAGGTTTGTGGATTTGAATCACACTGTTTACCTGATGTCCCATTTATCTTAGTGGCTGCAAGTCATTAGCACAAACATGCCTTTAGTAAATTACATAATATCATTCAATTGTACTGGACAAAGTGTTTGCCCCCAGATCACATATTTATTGTTTTTATGTTCAAAAGATAAGAGATGATTAACTTTTGGGCACTTTGTAGAAACTAAACAAATACATTTTTTATGTCTGAACTTGGCAGAAAGTAGTTTTTCTTCCATCTTAGATGGGTAGAGGTGAACTCTGAGAATAAGTCATTCTCAACCCTTAACAAATACATCCTCAGTCCATACAGAATGCAATGTGCTAAGTAAACATATAAGACATGTAGACACACATGGGAAATGATGCGCTGATGCGCATTACAAGTGGGGCCTGATTTTGGAATATGGGTATTCATTAGGGAAAAAACCCCAATATATTTATTTTATTTGGTGGGGTTCGGAGGGGGAGGAGGAGGTGCAGGCCATTGTAGGGAGTAAGACTGAATTGAATTATAGCAGAGTAGGTTACATATCCTTGTGAGTAACAATGACTTTTCTCAACAGGGCCAAGAGCTCTGTACAAGGGTCTGGGACCAACACTGGTGCGATGCTTTCCTGCATGTGGAGCTCTGTTTGTGGCTTATGAAGGAACACAGAAACTTTTGAACAATGTATAGATCATACACTTCTTAACAGTGGTTTCCAATTATTGTTTTATATTTAGATTTTAGCTTAGTATTATTGAAGTGCCAAGCACTTGAAAGCACAATGTAATCCAGTCAATTATTTTTAATTAATTTTCTCCTTAATGGTGGAGAGAACAGGTTTAGTCTGATTTGAAAGAGCACCAATGTGCAAAAACTAATTAAGTCATCAAAGTTAACAAATTCAAACCAAAGCAGACTTGTGAAGTACATCCACAGTCAACTCGTAGTCTTTGTAAATTATTTTATATTGTTTATTTGTGTCATTGTTTGTCCCTTTCCCTGTATCTCTCTTTCTTTAGGACAAGATATTTAACATTTTGCTCGAGGCAAACTTAACAAAAAAAAAAAATTATATCATGGGAACATGCAAGAATTGTAATAAGAAATAAATGATTTACAGCTTCAATGCAGCTTTAAAGAAAATAATATTTTGGAAGAAATTGTCCTGGCCTGGGAAATTATCACAAGCACAATATTGTGGCTTATATTTTTTTGAATTAATGCACTGCAAGCTTAGTTTATTACTGTGTATTTGGGTTTTCAAAGTGTGCAAAAAAGAAATCTGGTAAAATATAATATCAAGATTATGTTTATCGCAAGTGAATAGTTAATGTAAGTGTCAATTACTTGGTCTAGTTTGGAGTTACTGCTCATTTGGGTAGTGTAGAATATTAGCAGAAAAAAGCAGTACTTATACATGAGATTTCCATGAAAGTTTAGCCTAAGTGTGGAATGTTGAAATTCACAGTGACCATTTTGAAAATGTATTTCAGCAAATTTTAATTTGTGTATTATGATCACTGCCCAGAAATGTTTTTCTAGTTCAGTATATCAATCAGATGAGATGAAGTCACAAGTTTTGGACTGATTAACTGTAAAAGTGTCACTAATGTAGTTAACCTGTTAAATACTAAATGTCGAGAGTGATTGGGATTTAGTTTGTTCTCATATTATATCATTACATGTATAATGAAGCAAACTGCACATTTCCCCCCAATAAGAGCAAGAGAAATGAATCAAGGCCAGTAGAAAAAAATAACTAACCAGTGATTGAAATGACAAGGAGTTATTTCTAATCTCCCTGGATTGGAAGTTAGTCCATCTTATTTTTCTCATTTCGACTGTACTGTATACCAGCCGGTACCAGACAAACTTAGGTTCTTGCCTCAGAAAAAATTGTGAATTTATTTATTTCAGATTCCTGTAAAGGATATGCATTTAAGAAAATGAATAAATACAAAACAGTGTATAAGAGAAGTTATTTTTCTGATATTGCCTTTGAATTTTTTTTTTGTCTGGTTTAAACTCTGCCATTTATACGACTAGGTGGAGAGCAAAGAGCAGTGAGAGGAAGTGTTATCCTAGAACACAACACAGTGATGCAGCCAGGGCTTGAAGCCAAAGGCCAGGACACTAAGCTTTGGGCCTCAATGCCTCCCACAATAAACAATAAATTGAAATTTAACTTATTTTCAATTTGACAAGCACTGAGTATAATCAGTAAGGTCCTCCATTTTGTACACTGACTATACTGGTTCCTGTTATAAATAAAAAAAGTTAATTTATGTGTCTATTTAAATTTTGAGTGGGCATTTAATAAAGATAAAGACAATGGAAAACCCCCATCATGATGTCCAAAAGGTGGCCACGGCCGCTTAATAGTGGTAGGGCTTTTATTTACAGTATTTTACGGACAATAATTTCTGGACTGCTTAATAGGGGGTGGCTGCTAAATAAGGGGTGGCTGCTTAATAAGGGTTCCACTATATTTCTTTAATGTTTAAACATGTCTAAGACAAAGAGTTAGCTTAAATATTATTGTCTACCATTCAGCAACTAGATGCAGGAGAACAACATTTGAAAACACACAAAAAAAGTAACTTCTCTATGATATTCCAACAGACTTTGACACGATTGGGGCTACAAGGCATAATCTTGATAAGAAGTACTACCCCGTTAAAATAAATAAAATAATAGAACTATTCTTATGCTAGCTAATCCAAAGGGTTGATCTAGATGACCAGCAATGCAACTCTGAGATTTATTTTGTGGAAAAAAAAAAAACCCGGCAAATTACCTACCCTGATGGTAAAATGAGCTGATATTTTTGTAATCCAAATGCTGGATATGTTATTGTGTCAACTTTTTTTTCATAGTAATAAGTTACATGTAGGAGATAAGAATCATAACTTGAAGGCATAAATATTATGATTTTCAGTTGGAACCTCGGCATCCAATATGACAGTCAAAAAAACATTTTTAACCTGGCATACATTATTAACATATGACGAACTTTATAGACTGGGTGACTCAAAATCCCATGCTAATGTTACCAACTTCAAGATTTGTGACTTGACATCCCACTTTACTGTTTACAGTTGTTGGTGTTCATAACTGCAAAGTCGGATGTTGCAAATATACAGTTGGATATTGAGTTACACATTTGTTCTGGGCGTGGATGAAACATAACATGCCTTCTTCTCTAAAATAAATAAAGCTATTGTTTTGGGTGATTAGACACCTGAAGGTCAATATGGTAAATATTTATCGCATTGTACTAAAATTGGCGCCAAAGTCTGACGTAACCTTGGATTCAAACGGAAGCCACGTGGCATGTTAGGAGTCGAGGAATCTAAACAAAAAAATATAATTTTTGTGATCAATATAACTTTGATTACAATTAATCTCTTTCTAAGACTACACTGAAACTAAAATAAGGGTTCCTCTGTATTCTCTATTTTGTCGTTGTTCACCGTGTCCCGTTTTTGCCAAGCTCTTTCGCTCGTTCTGTGGCGGCGTTAACAGCCTTCATCAGAGCTCCTCGAAAACCACACTCCTCAAGGGCATTTATCCCTGCGATTGTTGACCCCCCGGCGGAACAGACGGCATCTTTAAGTTCCCCAGGATGTTGTCCACTTTCTAACACCATTTTAGCCGCTCCAGCACACGTTTTCGCCGCTAATTTCATGGCCTCTTGGCGATTCAATCCAGCTCTCACAGCGCCATCCGCGAGAGCTTCGATCGCGAGGTACAGGTAAGCAGGTCCACCACCAGTTAACGCAGTCATCACATCCATTAGTTCTTCCTCCACATCAAAGCAATATCCCACAGAGGACATCAGCTGATGAACAAACGTGTAATCATCATCCCGAGCAAATTTTCCGAATGTTACAGCCGTGACTCCCTCGCGAAATTGCACTGGAGTGTTTAGCATCATACGAACCACGCGACTTCGGCCGGGCAAGTAATTTTGCAGATAATCCAAAGTCACTCCAGCCGCTATTGATGCTACCATATGATTTCTTGTTACCACAGGAGAAATTTCCTTTAAAACTTCAGGGAAAACTTTGGCTTTTATCGCGAGGAAAACGAAGTTACTTTCTTTCATGATAATTTTGTTGTCGTTAGTCACGTTACAGCCCATTGAACGAAACTGGTTCAAGTCTCTTTCTGACGGAGCGCTGGCAAAAATTTCGTTTGCTTTGATTATCCCGGCGGATAAAAATCCTTTAGCAAGAACTTGTGCGGCCTTGCCCCCGCCAATAAAACCTAACGACGAAATCAAACTCATGACTGCCGGACAGAAGATTACAAATCTACCGATCAAATACTCGACTTGTTCTTTTACCCGAAGACAAAGAAGGTTGTGCGATGATCCGTCCAATGAAAACTCGCGCATTTTCTTGGACAGCCAATTAAAACATGGTACATGACAGCAGTTAAAGATCGCTTTGTTACCTTTAATATTTTGTCACGCAAAAAAACATCCACAAATGGTTTATCTCCTCAGATCAGCTTTTTTTGGAGACAGGAATCTCACTTTTCGAGACTTAGGGCTACTGAAAGTAAATTCTTCTCAAGATTAGGCGAGGAGCTGTTTTCAAGGAGTCTGCTTTCACTTAGATGCAATATACTGAACTATACTGACCGCGATACTCAAATAATTGGTATGAAAATAATTGCATTATCTTTCAAAGACAACAAAGGCATAATAGCTTCCATGTGACCAATATAATAAATTTCCTCGTTCATTCCTGTAGATATGTGATAAAATTTTCTTAAAAAGGCAGTTACGACGACAATGTTTTATGTTAATATCGATATATGTATGCTGAAAAAGAAGAAAGAGGTATTTTTCTTTTGAAATCTTGATTTCATTAACACCAGAAGTCAATATAGAAAACAAGTTTTACATTTCTGTAGACAATCGTTTTTGGTAGAAACAATGCACTTAACAAACGTCTAGCTGCGTAGGTTGGGGTGGTTATAGTTGTGGCGCCATGATTACGGTTCGTCATCAGAAAATGCCCCAAAGCAGAATAGAACAGAAGTTATTCAGGCATTTTAATAAGACACTGACTTTGCTATTTGTGTACATATGCCTCAATTTAGAACTGAATCTAAATATCCAGTAACTACTGAGAAGTTTGACGACAAACAAATCCCTCGTACTGTGTGAAAACGTTTTTAAAAGAATTAATTGATTTCTCAAGCCGTTCAAGATGACATCAAAGCACTTTCTGAATGAAACATCTTCCTAATGGCTTGACAGTGGGAGGAAGAACTCCTCAGGCATTTCCTGTTTTTTGTTCTGATTCTATGAAGAACTAGATGCATGACGCGGTCAATGAGATATTTTTGCTCCTGCTTTGCTACTATTTTTATCAATTGAGAACCACGGGCACGTAACGGACCTTTACGTGGGCGGACCTGTTCTTAGAAATATCTGTCCTCCAGAGATGCATTGCATCACTGACCACTGACCGTCATCGACTGAATTCTGAGCTCGAATAAGGTCGCTTCTCGAGCACTGTAATCAGTGGCAGATCTAGTGGAGGGGCCCGTNATTTGAGTGAAAAAGGAAGAAATCACAGAAGGAAGAAAAGCCGGAAAGGCAAGCAAAAAAAAAAAAACAACCGTTCCCCCGCCCCCCTTAGCTTAGCTCAAGGTCTGGATTCACCACTGGTAGTTGCTGGTTGTTCGTTGGAGTCTGTCTCGGGCAACCTCCCCCTAGCCTCTACCCACCCCCAATGAAAGTCAAGATTTGGCCCCGGACCCACAACCCTATATAGATAGTGTAAAGAGGATTGAAGACTTCAAGTGCGTGCTGGGCTGCAGGCCATTGACAACTTTTACAGAGACATGTTGGGAAAAAGAACAGACTCTGATGCAAATTTACGGTTTTATGTGCTACTGCTGTACTGCAAAGAAGGTGAGTGTATGAAGTAACAGACTCCCTCTTTCGCCTAGTCCATCGAGTGAGACCGTAATTAAACCGCGAGGAAAAATGGCCGCGTGAAAGTCAAATAAAGCAATATAAGAAAAGTTACCAGCAACGAGAACTGGATTGCTTTAAAATGCTTGCTTGCTTGCTGGTTAATAATTTGCGGCTATGATGGTTCCTGATGAATTCTGATGAGCTTGGTGTGAACGGAAAAATTTTCCTGTCAGTAAACAAAACAGCGGCCTTTTAGTTGGCTACTAACTCATATATGTTTGCCAATAACTAGACCACCGAGAGGACTAGTTTGCCGTTTTTTACTTTTTATATCTCGGGATTTTTGCTGATTCAGGTCTGCTGAAGCTGGTTTTGCCTTTAGAAGGTTTCAAGATTTGAGAATGACGTCATATACACATTGGTCGTCTCGTACCCAGACCTCACTCCCAAGGCAGCTGCTTTAATTGCAGTCACCGCTTTCACAGAACGAAAAATGTGGAGAAAATTCTTAAAACCTGGCAACAAAGAGTTTGAAAGTGCACTTCTAAAGTTGGCAAGTGAAACAGGAGCTCCTAAAGATGTAGCCGAGAAAGTTCTGCGGGAATGCAATGGCGATTTCACGTTAGCAAAACAAAAGCTTCAAGGACAGAGCTCAAACATGGCTTCCAAAGGAGCTGACGGGAAAGTTCCGTCCACGTCTTCTTCGTTGCCCTACACAGACTCTCCGCCACCTTATTCGGAAGCGGTCGAAGGAGCTACGGCTTTACCAGCACCACTACCACCACCATACGTTAGTCAAGAAAAAGATTCTCTTTTGGGTGAATTAAAAGCCGTTTTTCCTGATCATGCCGACGAAAGATGTTGTACATGTTTTGATCCCATTCGTCCTGATAAAAGTGAAGGATTTAGCGGTGAAATGATTTGGCATGGACTGAAGGTAAGTTAGGCGTCATGTTTCGCTTCAAGTAGAACACGGAATGGACTGCGGATTGTTCCAGAAGCTTAAGTGTACGAACATAAAGCCAAATGTTATCAGCTGTAAACAAGTACAGTTAAGCTTAAATACGGTACTGTAAGTGCGGTGTGTTTTCCTTCATTTCTTTTCTATTCGCTATTCGGCGTTGTAATGATTGATAAATGTAACTTGTTAGTCTCGCCGTTTCTGCCATACTTAACGATTTAAAGCTACAACTACTGTTGTTCAAGACACTTCTGGAAAGTGGCATTTATATTGTAACCCTTGTGAGAACTCTAATCAAACTGTTATGCATCAATGCCCTGATTATGAAGTAATGATCTGATGCTACCATCCTCCATATTCGCTGTTGTGCAGTGGTGATCTGTGCAAAATTTGTGAATCCTAACTTTTGTTGTGGGTGGAAATATTTGCACAGTATATATACGAATAACTTACTTCTGTTTGTGTTCTGGCGCGAATCAAACGCCTGATATTGAAGGAACTCATGATGAATGGAGAAAGAATTCTTGGAAGATAGTAGCTTAATTACTTAAGCACTTGTGGATCAGTGCTCTAAGGCTAATGATAAAAGTAATTGTCTTCTTATCTAGTCATTGTTGTCCACAATTTCATTATCAGAACACGTTTCAGCCTCAAGTTAGCTAGTGGAACATTTCCAGCAGAGGCCATGTGGAAATCAACTGGCTTGGGCTAATGTTTGTGGCATAGTCTGCAATATTTTGAATAGAGTTGACTTTGCAGGCCTCCTCTGCTTAGTTTTCTTGGCAGTCACACTAAAGGTCCACGAAAGTGCAACTTGGAGCTATCTGCATAAAAATGTAATTTAACTTCCAAAAGAGAAAAAAAGAAAAAAACTGTCATTGTTTTGGACCTCCAATGTGACTTCCTCAGAGACTTACTCAATATTTATAGGAGGCAGCATGGCTGAGTGGTCAGTGGTCCCGGGTTTGAGTTCAGCTCTGACCACTAACTGGATTTGTCTCGTGGTAGCCCTGGGTTCAAATCCTCGGTGACACTACTTGTAAACAATAGCCAACTGGCTTGCCTCTGGCCAGTTGGGATTCTTATCAATGCTATGTTTAATTTGAATTATTTGTTTCAGTTGTTTGCTCAGCCCCACCAGCCTTAGTGCTATAAACAATGCCAAGGGTAAATAAAAGTTACTTTCTTTTAATTTTCATGTTTCGAAATAACATTTTTTTGATTTGTGTTAGGCATACCATTCAGAATGCTACGTGAAAAGTAAGGGGCCAAAATGTGAACATTGTTGCTTTTCACTGATTGCTTACCCTGAGAAAGGCTTGTCTGGCAAATGGGGTATTTACAACGGCTGCAAGTATCATGAAGAATGTTACATCCAGTATGCAGGACCACGCTGTAGTGCTTGCTTTGATGTGATCTGTGTGGATCCTGAAAATGGTCTCTCTGGCAAGTGGATCGATGATGGAAACAAACAATTTCACGAAGAGTGTTACAAGAAGAAAATGTTCGTTGAAATGAGAGCTAAGCATTCCTAGCTGTGTCATTGGTACAGAGAAATGTTCATTTATGTTCACTGTAGCATGTGAGAGTTCATAAACATCCCTGGACTGTTTCGATGTAAGTTTACAGCACATATTTGAGAACTGGGCAACAATCCTATACGTTCCAATGTCAACATAGAAACTCTCCATACAGGACTTTATATGTATGCAACAAGTACTGGTTGGTAGAATTTGCATGTATTATGTTTTAGTCAATTTTGTTTCCTAACATGTTACTGACATAATTTCAGAGGATAGTAAGGTAAAATAGAATGTATTCATCATTGTTGGTACAAGTCCTGACCAGGTCAGAGATAAACCAGCAAGTGCATGTTCATAAATTAATAATAATTATGTTTATTTAATATGGTCATGTATAATTTATATTGTGATAATAATTTATGTTTGTCATTATTGCAAACATTGATTTTGGATTAATCTGGAATATGGTATCTTGTTATTACTGTAGACCATAATGTCAGACTATTAGATTTTGACAACTTTTAAACTGTGTAAAATTGGCCAAAGATTTCATTACCATAATGGTGTGAGTCATTCGAAATATATGGGAGATGTTATGAGGCATTGTAAAAAGTGTTGGGTATTTTGTTAGTGTACTTTTTTCCAACAATACGTAGTAAACAGTAACTGTTGATTGCGTTATGCTAAGTAATTGTAATGTATGATGATGTGAAAAGACTTTTTATTAGAAAAAAACTGCTTCTTTTAAGCAAAGATAACAACTCAGCTGAGCTGAGGCCAGTACTCATTTATTAGTGTTTTTATTTGAAACAAATAGCACCCAAATTTTTTTCAAGAAAGAGTATCAACATCAGTCTATTAGAGCATACACAGGTCAGGTACAATGTAAAAACCTTCAACACTTGTCTTCTTGATGAAATGTTTGCATCTCAAATGTGAGATGTTTGGATCCAATTCATCCAAATAATTGATTTTAGTAATGTAAAATAATGGAAACACTTATACCTCAAGACTATAGCTAGGTCCAAATGCCAAAACTTTGGATTTGAAAGCTTACTTTTCTATTTCAGTGAGAAAATAATTATATTTCTTGCGCACCTAATAAGAGTTGCATACTAGGTATAAAATTTTAGAATGGTGTAACCTCAGCTCGGGGTTTTTCCAGACTGAAGTCATGAACTGGGTGGGTGTGCAACCCTTATAAAGTTTTTTATTTTGCACACAAAATGTATTCCAAATGTGTGCTAAATGGTTGTTATGCTGAAGGCGGCTTAAGTACCTTTGGCTGCAATAAAAGAATAAAAGTATTGAAATGTGCATTATTAGCCATTTATTGTCATGTTAGCTGGTTTTACATATAAATAATGCAGTTTGTGCAGAGTAGTGGAAAGAATGAAAACCATTGGTGGTAGATATTCTGAATATGGCCAATCATGGGTGCCACAGACATCCCCTTTTCAAAATTTTCTAACTTCTCCCTGATGAAAATCAGATTTCCTCGACCAAATAAAGACAAAATGTCAGATCTACTGGCAGCTTGTCGTGTGAACTAAAAAAAAAACATAGCCTTTGGGGCCACACATGCCTATATAGCCCATATAAAGGAGTACTCCCCCCGTCCAGACCATTATGACAGCTGTTAATCCTCAATGGCAGGTAAGAACATGTTTATTTTTAATGAAGTCATCATTGCTATGAAGCTTTTTGTACGATAAAAAAAGTCAACTTTATTATTTAACCAATTACAGCTATTTCTTGATATAAAGGATGTCAGTTTAAGCATACATGTAAATGTCTATNTGAAACTCAGAAAACCATGAACACCAGAAATATTGTGTAGCAAGGAAAAAGCCAATTAGGCATGAGAAAGTTAAACCACAAACAGCAACAGTAAGTAGTAGTGGTTTTGAGGTTTGTTCCCATGTCCTGAACTTTACTGTGTTTGGTCACTCCTCAGTACCCAATTCATCCATCAGAATCAAATCAAAGTGTTCACGGGTTTTTTTTAGTTAACAGCAAAGTCAGAGATATCTAAAGAGTACACATTTTATTGATAATAATAAACAGGTTGGACAAAACTTAAGATTCCTTGTTTTCATTACCCTCTACCTCCCACCTGCCCTGGGTATTTCCTCGAGAATGGTGATTTATGAAACAGTCCCTCCATTCATACGAAAGCAAAGGAAAATCCAGTTTCTTTTCTTTCTTACTACCTTTTCCTCCTTTACAATGTACCGCAATAACATTCTTTGGATCTCTGTCAAGCCATTCCCTCACATTGTGTGTAAAATATAACAACTGACTGAAAAAAAGACAAAAGTATAGTACACATGTCAGTCAACTAAATGCAATTCTATTTTAAATAAGCCTCTGCCCAAATTTTAGACAAAAAAACCCTCCAAATTAAAGGTCTTTCTGTATGTTAAGCTTCTATATTATTTTATTTACCATGGTTTTATGTTGATTTATAAGAATTACACTGTATTATTTTTGTCCGACTAATAAGCCTTTCAAAATAATAATAAGCATCAAACAACAAGGTGTACTTAGACTACTACATGTATTTAGTGCAAGATTTTAAACTAATACCACCAAAACTTCTAACCTTAGTCTAGGAACATTATGGTCATCAATCAGTACCCTCTCTACTCTGTTGTGGAACATAGATGGATCATAGCTTCTCTCACCTGTGAGGGAATAAATTTAATAACAATAATTAGATATAATTACTATTTGTAGCTTGTTATGGTGTGTTTTCTTAACTGAGGTACAAGTCTCTGTAATTGTAATGCAAGAAAAAATAATTGAGGTAAAGGAAATGTTAATGACAGCCCTTTTACAAATCATTGAAAGTTCTTTTCTACAAAAACATTACTATGAAATAAATGATAAAAATTTATATCATTTTTTTAACATTAACTATGATTGCCATTTCTTCATTTGCAAGTGCCACTGTACATTCAAAGGTGTGTAAGGTGCTGTTGAAAATTTTCATAGAAACGGTGCAATATAAATTTTTTCCATTATTATTATTATTATTGTCATAAATTATTATTATTATTATTATTATTATTATTATTTTTATTATTACAAATGTACTTACTACATAAATTGTAAACTTTATAATGGTCTTGATGTTTTGTATCCAAGAACCGTACAACTTCCTGTAAATAAGCACATGGAATTAACAATTCACTCTTTTCAATAGTCAGTTTGTGTCAACACCTGATTTGAATACATGTATTGACCCAGCTACTTGTAGCAAGTGTAGCTGCTGTTATTGTTTCCTAACCATCAATTCATTTCCATGGCCTATTAATATATAATTTTGAGCTAACCTGTGTTGCTATCATACTGTATGCCTTCAAGAAGAAATAGCAACATAAAATAATTATTGTCAACTTACTGAAATTGGATTACGATACAACTTGTGTTTTCCAGACGATGGAAATGACATGGCTATAACCTTCTCTGTAAAAATGAAATTAATAATTTAAACAGTCATATACAATTTTAAATTATCATTTATGATACAGTGAACAGTAGAGACATTTCTAATCTTATAAACTAGTAATGATAAAATTATTCTTGACTAATTAAAAGCCCTTAATTTACAGTTGCAAGACATCTCAAAGTGAACAAACCAAACGTAATTTACTAAATATAAGCATTTCCCACACATGGCTTGTACAAGGTTCAGTTTTTGGTTTGCCATCCACTATTGCCTGACGTGCCCCACCCACCCACCCGTGAAGAATTTTTATAGTCTATTAAGTTGCAGCGAATTTGTTCTCTAACCACTTTTTTATGCCGCTGTAAGACAGTTATGTTGTTATGTCAATAAACTGGTCAGGCTGCGTGGTTCGGCTTGGCATGGCTCCCCGTGGTGTGTGAGAAATTGTACATGAATGCATGTGTGTATACATAATAAAACAGATGTTGATGATATTCTTACCTGTAACATAAGTCAAGTCTAAATCAAAGCCGTCCTTTTGATATCTCCTCTTGTTCTGTGATATCTACAAGAAGACATTTCAAGCAGAGTCATTAGTGAGTCTTATTATTCAGTTGCATGAAGATATTTCTATTGTGTAGGAGAAAAATATGTCTCCTGCAGGCAGAGTATTTTTAATGTTTATTTGACAAGTAGGTGACATGCATATACAGAGGTTTCATTGACATTTTCAGCAAGAGGGCAACTGGTTTTCACAGGCAGGCAAAACATTATGAGCCGAACTTCTTTATAAGAAAAACTTTCCTCCAGATGGTCAAACCAGGTGGCCAAATCATCCTTACAGCTGGTCAATTTGCTCAGTGCCTGGCCTCTAATGAAACCCCTGCATATAACTCTCTTTGATTCCTTCGCAACTCTTTTTTTATCCAGCTTTGTAAATTTGTGCCCACTCACCATTCTCCTTGTTGCCCTTTCTAGTTGATCTTTTCCAGTGACGATTCTTATGAACAGAAGTACTCGTACCAGACGAGCTGTGATAATAAGTCTAAAAACACATTAGAAAAATACAAGACAGTGAATTATAAGAAACATCATATAACATTGAATTATTATAACAGAATGATCTGAAGACAAAGACAAAGTTTTTCAGGTTTTCAGGAACTAACAGTGGCACATCCACAGATTAACTATACTTCTCCACTGTTTCCAGATCAAATTGGTGGGTTTTGTGCAGGGAGGAAAACCGGAGAACACAGAGAAAAACTCTCAGAGCAAGGACGAGAACCACCAACAAACTTGACCCACTTATGATGCTAGGTTACTTATAAATAAATAATGCACTACAAGTAATATTACATAGTAAATCATAATTATAATCAACAGCAATCTAAAATAGCAGAACTCAACATTTCTTTCAGTTAACACCGTTGCAATTTGAGAAAATTGGATACTTACTTTGCATAGCCGTGTTCCTCTAAGGTCAAAAGAGAAAAAACAAGAGTGAGAACAAATGATATAACCACCACCACCAAGTCTAGGATTTCAAGCCATCTGTGAAAGAAAGATTTTCTGCAAAGACAAAAAAATAAAAACAAATCAACCAAACTTGCATATTTTAAAAAAAGAAGATAAAACTTAACAAAAAATAAAAAAGTAACATATTAGAAGTCTAAGCAGAACAAATCAAGACACCACAAACTATTTATAATTGTTTTATTTCTATGCAATTACTTAAAACTTGTAAAGTATAGAAAAGCCTATGGACAGGCTCCCTTGAGGGGTATAGGATGAAAAAAAAATGTCAGTTTTCTTATTCAGTTTTTTTTTTAAATCTAATCATGACACACCAGCAGCCTGTTCACAGGCTAAATGCAAAAAGACATACAGTACATGTACTCACCCCAATGCAAAGATCCTAAACAGCACCTCAATCAAGAAGTAGGTTACTATTGAAATAGAAATTATTTCCAGGCTCTGCAAGAAAAAAGTGAAACAAAAAGATAGCTAAGTAATAAAGTTGAATGTCTCCATACAGACACCTCAAAATTAGGACTGCTAACTTAGTCTCACCAAAACCAGAATTCATATAATTTCTGCCTCCATAAGTCTGCCCCTTTAGTGTCAATAACGAAGAGGTTTGAGTGAAGTAACTTTATCATGCAGGGCACCACATATATTTACTAATGATTCCTACTCAGATAAGACAACTTTATTTTTTAAATATCTAACACTTGCCAGCAAAATCTAGAAACACTGTCCATGGTTTTTGATCTGAAAGTTTACGAATCAACTTACAATAACAGCACTTCTTTTGCCAATCAGGGCATGCACTGCAATATCCCATCTACATGTATTACCCAGTCAATAATTTACTAACAGCAAATTGAATATAAACTGGTTTCAGTATGGTCAAATATTAATACTACTGAAGGAAGGCCATTATTTACCTGTTCTATACGTCCTGCAGTGGCCAAGTCAACAATTACGATAACAATATCTGCCAGCACCAACAGCAGGCTAAATACTCTGTAATAAAGTAAATTTTAAATAATTGATAAGTCATAGAAATAAATTCATCCCTTACACACAACAACAACAAGCGACTCAAATTCTGTTACTGGAAATTTCCATTTCCTCAATAATCTGCTACAAGGTAACAGTGACAAGTTCTAATTCATTTGTGGTGATTAAAAAAATCTGTAGTGAACTTGTAAAAACACTTATCATGTATAAATAACCTTTAAATTATAATTTTTTACCAACCTGACAAAGAAATGCTCCACAATTCTTCTGAGGGACTCTCTAAATTTTCTGTGAGGTTAGAAGTAAAGTACAAACTTGAAATTATTTGACTGCATATATGCTGCCTAACATATATTCAAAATAACTTTCATTTCTAGACTATGACTGAGCAGGGATGGAAATGCTGGGGGCTTTAATAGCACAGAGCAACTTGAATCTTAAATTCTGAAAGATGACCACCAGCTCATATCCTCCAAATGTTGACTTCACCGACACATGGGTAGATTGTGTCAAATTTAGAATTAAGTGCAAGTGACTAATGTGCATAAAAAAAATTAATGTTGCAGTTCTTAGAGAGTTATGTTCAAACGTTTGTAGTAGACGAATGCAAAAACCACACAATAGTACAAAATAAAAAAAAAATACATGGCTTAAGACCATCTCCATGGAAACAGTCCATAAGACAAAATCCCAACCAAGAAAGTACCAATCAGAACACTTGGATTTACCTCCATGCTACCTTGCCATATAATAAATGAAAATTTAAAATAAATAAATAAATATAAGGATTGATAGGAAAAATAAATAAATATATAAATAAATAAATAAATAAATAAATAAATAAAAAGGATTTTTACAATAGTTCGCAAAATGGCCTTTTGATCACTGTTTCCACATCAAATATTTAGTGGATGTCGAGAGGAAAACTCAAGAACTTGGAGAAAAACCCTTGGGCCTAGAGCGAGAACCAACAGCAAACTTGACCACATATTGCCTGGTTCTAGCATTTAAACTAAGGGAACCTTGGTGGGAAACAAGTGGTCCCATGGTCCCATTGCTGCACCACCCTTGCTTTCTCTCCCCACTACCCCCGCTACCAAGTTTGTTTCCCTGAACTCAATTTAAGCTTTCTATTTTGAGTTCGCATCCCCCTTTTTCGAGTTGGCTCTGAGGCCAATGGATTAAAGAATGAGAAATAAACGTGTTGTGTGTGATTTTGTTTTACTGTGCCCACTAATCTGGGGTGAGCTTGATAGCTAGCTGAGTTGATGTGGGTGCAAACCTGGTGGGTGCGAACTTGCTTGGGTGCGAAACCTTATTGCACATGTAATCAGGAGTCACATGTAATTAGCAAACAGAAACACTGCCAAAACGTGCGATCAAAAGATTGTCTGGCAATGATTCTGTAGTCAAGACTTGTCCTGCTAACATGTGCACTGACGTGACAACTCTGTAGTTCCACTCTAGCACTCTAGGACTTGCCACTTCCTGTTTGAAATTCTAGCTACACATACTGACAACAAGACTTGCTTCACGGACAGAACGCGTTATAAAACCGCACTCAACAGACACTTCTGAAAGCAAAGTATTCAACCCGGACGTTCAGACTTACTAAGACATTGAACAAAGTCGTAACGCTGAGTAATATTGACAACCGAATATTTTGCAAACTAAGCAACAAACGGCGGTATCAAGCTTGTATCCCCTTGCACATGGCTTGTTATCTCCTGAGACTTAAGTCTTTTAACTTCTGAACCCTTGAGCCCAATTCAAGGTCACTATATGCTAATACGTATACGTAACTTGAATTTTCCATTTATACTGACACGGAAAACAGTATATAAAGTAACTTTAGAACTCAAAAGGAATTGAACAGTATCAAATTTACACTGCACACAATAAAAGCACCGTAAAATCTTCATTGTATTAAAGCGCGCATTTTGTTCAGTTCATGTTAACTTCACGTCTAGTGTGTACAACTTCTCACACTTTGATGCTGATGTTGAGCATGTGTCTGTTGAAGCAGATCCAACCGGAATGAATGTCTAATGTTATGTTGAATAAATCTAAGTCACCTACCCCAAGCGAGTGCTCTTTTCCAAGACTGTTTCAGGATCGCTCCAAGAACTAAGAGCCGCGTCCGTAACGAAGTGAATATGCTTGGGAGAAACTGAGACCTGTACGAAGTCATATTCTTGTTCTTTCAGATCTTCATCTAATTCCTCGTCGTCTTCTTCGTCAAAATCCTCTTCCTCCTCTTCGTCGTTCATTTTTGTGACTAGTTTCTCTTGGCTGTCGTATCTCGTGCGGTGATAGCTTGCACTGAAATTCGGGTTATCCATAAGTTCACATACAAAAATTAAGAAAGCTCATACTACAAGCAACAACTCAACATCGTTTCGTTCAGTTTACTCAGGTCCGGCCTTCGAAACTGGACACCACTTCATATCCCAAACGACCGCTCAGGGGAGGGGTAAGTTAATTAGCGACAGTAATCAACTGGCTGTGTCTGGGAGTATAAATCATCTGAATCATTTGAATTCCTTGTAGTGATTTCTCAATTTTGTGTTTTCTCTTACAAACATAACGATTTTAATCCCCCTTAGAATTATTTTTGTCAGTAGGCAGGGCGGAAGCTTAGAGAATCTGCTGAATAAACAGACAGTTTATATATTTAGGTTTCCAACTTCCCATCCCTTGCTCATTTGATCTCAGTGTTTACTTTATATGGATAGTTGACTCAAACGAAACATTACTTGTTTTTTGCAAACCTTTAGCTCATTTTTCAGTTCCTTACTGAGTTGCGAAATTACATTTCTTTGTGACAGGTTTAGAGCTATATAAAGCGCACAGAGAGCCGACACAAAGAGGCCAATAACTTGTCAGTAGCATTTTCCCTTGGGCTGTATTGCTCTGTTTCGATCTGTTCTCCATCTGTTCAGCATAGCCACAAAATTGAACTTCATTTACGAATCTTTTTCACATTTGAGCCCAAACATACCCCTATAAACCTATCTTAAAACGATCTAATTCACATAACAAATCTTTCAACACCAGTACAGTGCTAATGCAGTAGCCAAAGAACCTCGTCAAATTTATGACAGCTTGTCTAAGTTTTTTTTATACATAATTTCCTTACCTGAAATCCAAGGAAGAAAGACAAAGAAGGTCATCCTTGCGCCGTTGATAATGTTAGAAACTGAAATATATCAGAAAGTGCTCTGGTTTGTCTACAGAAGAAAATGAAAAACAACGAAACAAGCTACCGAGAAGATCCGCATTCCCGCCAAACTGTCGCCTCGACATCATGACGAGTCTATCTTCACATCGACTTCTCTCTGCATGACTTGGCAATGGTGTTTAATTAGTAAAACTTGTTTCTAAAATGTCCCTACTGAAACAGAAATTATTCAAATGGAAGGAGAAGCCGAAAATACTCAAGACAGAATGGCCAGAACTCGTGGGAAAGGTAGCTTTAAACACATTACTATTTTTGTTTATGATCATGGGAACAGAAGGCACAGTGAAATATGTGTGCTTCAACTGGAAAATTTATATCAAGATTAACGCGATCGATTTCCTGCCGCAAAACATTTAAATTTTGACCAAAACATGATTGTGGTTTCAGTAGCTGTTTATTAGCTTGCTTTTTTGAAACTGATACTCATGCTCCTGATGTGAAATCGGCAGCAACGATCTAACCTGCTGAGCTGCGAGAGCGATAAGTCATAACCTAAATGGGTGTGCAGATAAGATGATTAAATTTTACCAGAAGCATATCACGTAGAATAGGTGATATGCTTCTGATTTTACATTGGGCCATTATTATATTCTCAGCTTTATGTGGGATAGTTTCGATTTCATCTCAAAGATTTCGCTCTTCGAGGACATCATACAAAGTCTATGCTTATTTTTTCTAATTTATGCCGGCGGAGTCGTTTCACCATCGTGACGTCATAAAATACCTTGTGTAAAATTTACTTACTAATTTTAGTTATTATGGCATAAAATGATTTGGAACGTTTGATTCAAAAACTCCTAAATATTCAATTTTTTACGGTCAATACCCTTTTAATATTGTTTTGTTGAAATGAAAAGAAAGGATCTAATGATTAATTTATACAATTATAAATCACAGTATAAATTTATATATGTAGAAGACCAAGAAAAATAATATTACAAACAGTTTAATTTAACTTCCAAAATGAAATAAAACCTTTTCAGGATGCAGAAGAAGCAACTACAGTTATAGACAAGGAACATCCAGGATTGAAAGTAAATATAACATATTTAACAAATACCCACCGCTGTTTCCTTGCTTCAACTTAAAATAATTATTACACTATAATGTATTGGAAAATGAGATTTTTATGTCAAATAAAATTGTAGTAAAATTAAAAGCAGGATTAAAGTTTCTGTCAAAAGCAAGCTCTTGCAAAATTAATTTAAATACCATCAATAAATAAAGGGATAAACATGCATGAACAAATATTTAAAACTCATCCTGACTATTAAGGAAGTTTCTGAAAAAAGATTTATTGAAATATTTTGTACACTTAATCAAATCAGTTTTTTTGTAAATTCAGCTTTTTTGGCCCAGTTGTCTGTGAGAGAAATAAGTATGACTTACTGTGTCAGGACGGCTGGGTTTAAGCCTTTTTTAGTCCACCCTTCTCCCCAAGTGGTCATTTGATGAAGGGCCAGTTTAGTATTAAAAGTTTGTTCCTTGCAGGAGGAGTAGAATCAAGTGTGGCACATAGGGTTCAGGTGCATGGAATCTTTTCAAATGCATGTGTTACAAACTGGATAATCAGCCTTTCATAATTGCTGCCTTAGCTAAATAACTGTCTGTATTTTAATTCATCACATTGCAGATTCAAATTATTCCTGAAAACAGTTTTGTCATAAAGAATTTGGAAGAGAAGCGAGTAAGGATCTTTGTGGACAGAGAGCAAATGGTCGTCAGGATTCCATGCATTGGATGACAAACATTTAGTAACAGAATTGAAATTTTGCATGGCTAGCTAGAGGGAAGTCAGCTGAATAACTGAGTAAGCAGTGCTGTACTAAAAATTTCTACGTCAGATTTGTTGTCAGGGCACTGACTGTTACCATTTGTTTCAAGTCCTAGTGCATGCGTACATCAGAGGAATTCGAGACAATAGATTTCTGGTCCACAAAAGGGCTTGTGGAACAGTAGCTCTGACTCAAGTTTGTCAAGTCTGTCAAGTCTGTAGCATTAAAGATTCATTTATGTCTGTGGGCCAACTGTCTTTAATTATTAGTTCAAACACAGCTGGGAACACATGACAAGGTTGTGTAATAAACACTTTTTATTCTCAACTTGCCTTTATTGTTTTTGACAGAGCATTAAATGATTACTTAGCATATTATTAATGAACTACCAAAGTCCTTGTTTTTTAGACAGACTGTAACATATATAGAGTAACATCAGCAACACAAATTGCATTGTTTAACTTGCTTTATGAGAGATTGACTGCATGCTATCGTGCACTACATATTGGATACCATATCCAAGATTTGGAGAGTCACTGTAAGGCTAACAGAAGTTAATATATTTCTGCACCCTGTCTCTTGCATAACAATCAATAAAATACATATTTGATCCTATTTGATTCTTAAAGCCTTGTTAGACTATCCAGTTGCCATTATGCTAATCACAAGCAAACCAGGCGAGAAAAACCAGAACCAGCTGATTTTTTACAACTAGCTGTCGGCACTGGATACACCGCAGAGACTTTTGTTCACCCACAGTAAAGTGAGACAGAGAAACCTAAAAGATTATCTTTGGTTTAATAGTGAATAATATTATATATATGAACCAGGCCATTTCCATTTGCGGGTCACATCTTGCTTCTCTTTCAAAATGGTGGAAAACTTGAACTCCTATCATAACAAGTTACATTTAAGAAATAGAAACCATGTACTGTTTCTATCAGTTTTTAGTATAAATCTACTAGTGTTCTATCATGAATGGCGTTCTCTGATTGGCCACTTTACTCACTATCTATTCTGTTGTAGATAGTGAGTTGCGTAGCAGTGTGCACTTGTTAACAAAATTACGGCCACTTCTTTGCGTTTTCGAGGTGTCTGTGAAGAGGATTTAGATAGTTTTGAATGACTAGTAGATTTATACTAAATCAATTAGATTACTCCCTCTCAATTTGCGACAGGTGAGTGTTTCCACAGCTTTTTTGGGTTCTCCAACACGTCTAGGAGTGTTTCTATAACTCAATAGAAACACAGATAACATGTTTTCCATTTCTTCTAGAAAATTCCGAGATGAAAAAGAGAAAACAATTTGTTTACTTTGATCCTCAAAAGGTAAATCCTCTTTGCTCGCGCCATCATTTCATCAACAACTTGTGCTCATTCTGTTTCTATTGAGTTGTAGTTTACATGATGTTAAAACAATTGGTGCACTATTTTCTTTGGGCTATTTCTAAATAATAAGTTCTACTGATAAGAAAATGAATGGGAGCAAACTCTTTACTTTTTAAATGTTTTTGACCTAAGCAACTTGGAAATGACCTTTGAACTATGACTTATTAAATAAAAATCAAAGACCACAAGACAATATGAAGACAGCACACAAGAAATATTGTAATGCTGAACATCAACTGTCCCAAACACAACAACCAATGCCAGAATGGTAGTTGAATGATTTAAAGCCAACCATTCAACTGGCAGTATGTAGTAACATGTTCCCTATGATACTGCAAAAACAGCAGAGTGCCTGCCACACAGACATGGCCTTGTTCAGTGGCGGATCCCGACCTTGAGCTAAAGGGGGGGTGCCTGCCCTGCTGGCTTTACTTCCTTTTGCGATTTTTTTCTTAGCCAAAATAATAACTACATACATCAAGTACAATTGCTAATTTTAGTCTGAAGACAGTATAGAATTTTGTACTGAAATATAACAGCAGAAAGTTTCTTGAATCTTGTTGTTTATGTAAAATTATATGCACAATGCAATTACTCGGATAATTTATCCTTTATGCTCTGACAACAGTGGTTCGCATCATTCATTGGTAATTACCTTTTGCAAACTGTTAGTTTCCAGAAATCTGAGATATTTTTGGTAAAAAAATTCATTTTAGTCTGCTGAATAAGAAAAACATGGTTATATACATGGTGATATTTTCTAAACTAGGTCTATTCAACTTGCTATTTACATTAAGTTTTCATGAATTGAAATCCAATTTTATGATATGTAAAACAAAACCATCAGGAGCATTCTACTTGTTTTCAGCTGTACATGAAATAGTTATTATACATTGAACTCACTATCTCTTTTTGGATTGGCCGAAAGCATACCATGAATTTTCGTAATCAGCCCCTGTGACGTCAACCAGCTGCAGATTATACAATAATCAAGTCAAGGACACTCAAGGTCAAGGGTAATCATGTCATGAATGACTGCTGTGCATGATTTCTAAGCTGGGTAATCATGTCTAGTTCACGTGCTTTGTGTTGCTTGCCATCAATGAAGAAGCATAAACATAACCTCCAGTTTTGTTTTGTTTTTTTTTCGTTCAATGTATAATAAAACAATTCAGTTATGTGATATCAAGAATAATCAACCCAACCCCTACCTCGACCTTGACTATTCTGGATATCACAAAAACCTCATCCAATAATAATGTTTATTATTACCAAGTACAGTGCAGAAATATAGGCTATCATGGAAACATTTTTCATTAACAATTTCGTTCCAGGTATGTTTCATTTCAAAGGGTATATTATTTTAGTAAATACTGTTTGGACATTTTTAAAGTTGATCATCACCATTATGCTGAACAATAGTTAAACTGTGTTAACAACAGCAAGCTCAGTGTCCACATTGTACTGGTCCAAATAAATATACATAATTAGTGTTAAATTATTATGAGCATTCAACTCAGGTGGCAAGAACAATGTACCAACTTGACGAAGGAACAATGCTATTTATAACAGTCACTGTCTTCTTTTGAAAACTCTGGGAGTGCACTGTTTATTTCTTTAGAGACGCACTTTTATAATTCATAAAAATTATTTATCTTCTAAGACTGACTTTCTCAAACATATGTTTTTGATCCACGATATGAACTTCTGCTGGCTGCAGTTGGCGGGGGAGGCTTAGGGGGCGGGGCAGGGCGACGTGACCTTGCCATAGGTTTGGGAACACTACGAGAAGCACTTCCAGAAGTTGATGGGCCATTTGCACTTGATGAAGGAAGATCTGTGACATTAACATAATCAGGAGGCTTGGATTTGGGGACTAACTGGTCAATATTCTCATACATCTTTAACTGAAGTGATGGATTCTGCGACAGACTTCTTGCAAATGCTCTATTGTCTGGTTTTTTCATGGTTGTTGTGTTTTCAGTTTTTGCTCGTTGACGATCTGTGGGCGGCAATAGAGCTCTAGCACCTCCTCCTGAAGCCATTGTTGTACTCCTTGGAATTATCGGAGAGTTGGCAGGAGGAGGTGGGGCTTTTCTTACAGGTTGTAACATGTTTGGTGCTACAGGTGCTGATGCACCCGCTTTGTAATCTTTTGGTAATGTTATATAATCTCCATCTCTGTTGTCGCAAGAAGAGGTTGATGGTAAGGATTCTGTGACATTCATGTTAGTGTCTGTTGTTTGAAAGCCTTCAGGTAAATCTTCCACCACCAAAGAAGGAAAAACACCACGACGTCCTTCAAACTCACCATACCAGAATCCATCATCAACATTGTTATCATCTTTTTGAAGAACTCCAACAATGTCACCCTCTTTGAACGATATTTCCTCGTCACTCATTGCTTCATAGTCATACAATGCTCTTACATAACACACTGCCAAGAAAAAGTTGAGGGAATCAATAAAAGGCCTTTTTTATCAATAGAGAGGCCATTTTGAATTCCATTGTTTCAAACAGCCATTTTAGGATCCTTGGACAGAAATGTATACTCATTTGCCCCCTGAACATCCCGCAATGTCTTTCAAATTAAAAGAAATTAAAACGGCTGCTGTATCAGTAAAAAGATCTTACTATTAATAAACATAATTTTATTAGTTCAAATTAATGATCTTGGTTCTAAGCAACATGCAAGAGCCACTTTGCAGTCACAAACATCCTTTACATGACAGTCATTCAATAAGCTCTATTAACGAGGTAAGCGTGGTATTAAATGACAAGCTTATCAACATGTCATGTACCGTAACACACAACAGGCTCCTCAACTCCAACTACAGTTGAACCTCCGGTTGCAACCACCTCTCGTAAACAACCACCTCTCCTCAGCGACCAGTTTTCCAAAATACCAAAAGTTTCTGAGTCAAATCACTATATTTGGAACCTCTTGTGAGCGGCCACCTCTTGAAAGTGACGACAACCACTTTTAGAGCTAAAAGTTTGAAATTTTCTCTTGTTTTTCACCTCCCGTAAGCAACCACTTGGCAGATAATAGAGTGGACACTGGATAATAAAATGCTGGATTTTTTCTCAAAATTGACTTTACACATGGATAAAACATTCAAAACGTGGGGTAATTTTCTGTAGTTACCATATGCTAATGCGGCAAAATTTTGACCCAATATGGTCTAAGCTCTCATAAGCAAACACCTCCAGTAAGCGCTTACGGTAGGTTCGACTGTATTCATCTCACAAGAAGAATCTATTATAGAGTGCGTCATCACAAATTTCAATCCTTTAGTTGTAAATTAAAACTTGATTTGCACTTTCAAGAGGTTACAATATGAAGTGTAATAAACTTGTGACAGAATTATTGAGAAGATGATAAAAACAAATGCCTGTAGACTTAACAGCAAAAAATGAGCATGTAGACTATAACACAGAGAAGCGAAAAAAAATGAACTTACAGTATTTTGTTGCAGCTGATGTTGCTTGTCCTATGCTTGCAACACTAACAGGTGACCCACAAGGATGACCATCTGTGTAGGAATTACTTGGTGTGATCTGACGTGGGGAGTGATTGGCTGCTGATCCAACCTCAATATAGGTCTCAGGAAAAAAGCCCACTTGCCCTGATTTGTTACGACCCTGCCGAAATCAAGTGAAATAAATATTTGGACTAAACCTTATACAGCTGCTGAGGATTAATGTAAGGCTGCAGTGAGCCATACCACCATCCAAGCCTCTCCAGTTTCCATAGCATCAACTGGCTAAGAGAAGAGTGACTCTTTGTGGATGTGATGCTGGTCTACTGCACAGCATTTACCCTCAGCATCTTGCCATGATAATGCATTTGGCTAACAGTCTGAACAGTTATACTCACTTATGATCTTCTGGGTAAAAACTAACACTGTAACAGTGAAATGTCCTGGCCACTATTCAGACCTGGACAGCTTGGCATACTGTCTCCTCTCTAGTTAACAGCAAGACAACTTAAAACATAGGCAATGAACTTCCACTGCTCAATGTTGAATTGTTACAATCCTTTAACCATTAATTTATAACTTTGATGTACAGTATTACCTTACACCATCCATCACCATCTCTTTCTAATATTTCTAATTCTTCTCCTTCAGTAATGGTTAGTTCCTCTGAGTCTGTTGCCTGAAGGAGATATTTTGTATAATTACTTCAATATTGCCGACTGTCCTCTGCTGTCAGCGATAATGATTACAAGTAGTAAAGCTGCTGTGTCCTAAAATTATTAGGGTAAAGACATTATTTTTGCATTAATCAAGAATGTGTAGTTCCAGGAAATATCATTCTATACTCCCCCCACATAAGGGACTGGAATTTCCTACATGTATGGGTAGACCAAAAAATTTAAAGAAATTTCTGAAGCTTAACTGAAATTTCCAGAGGGGTGGGCAGGGGAGCCTTAGGAAAACTCCCTTCTGTGAGGGAGTTATGGATATGTTCTGGAACTATACAAGTGAAAGTAATTCACTTGACCTTTCTACACATGTGCATAGTATTCAATGGGCATGCACTGTACATACATCAAAGTTGTATAAAGCAACACAAGCCACTGGAATAGAGCAGTTGGATGACACACTTCTAGTATCTTCATCTGATGAGTAGTCGGCAGTGAAAGTGTCATCAATATCATCCCACTCATCGTCAAACGTGTCATTGAAGTCATCACTGAGCGAGTTCAATGAGCTCTGGCTTCCATGGAAATCTAAAAATATAAAAACAACCAAACTACTGTAAGATGGATTACAAGACTTAAACATGGTTTAGCTTGGTATTGTTATACATGTAACTTGAAAGCGAGAAATTAATTTTCCATTACTGAGCTGCCACCTTTGCAACCATGCTCATGTACCGCAGATGTTTAGAACACACATAGATCTCCTAAGTCCAGTGATGTCAGATGCAAGCCCTCTAGTTTAGTCAGACTAATTTTAATACACATACCGACAATCTATGTTCTTAATGATTGTGCTGAAAGCAACAAAAGCGTCCACAAAAACACTCACCAGCTTCAATGTCATTGGGGGACAAGGAATTTGCACTCTTCATCCACTCATCAACATTCACTGGTAAAACAATACAACAAGAATACTACATTATCGAAGAATTGTTGACCTAATCTAATAATAAGATCAAATAAAATTATTGTAAGTTGTGAGGTAATAATAATTATATCTCAATAGCTAATGGATTTTGTTTTGAGTCTACAATGGTCTGAGAAAAGATTATGTTAATTACCTGCAGCCTCTCGCAAGACTTCCAAACATGCTTCTGTTTTTAACTTGCTTGTCTGAAAATGGACAATTTGTTATAACTGTTAATTTCATGAAGTACAGCACAAACACAAATTAAAAACACCTTCAACAAGCAAACAGACAAAAACAGCATTTTTAATCACCTATGACAGTGACTCTTAGAAGGGCACTTCTTCTAATCAAAAACATATTAATTTCTTATCCCACGGACAACCATCAGATTTAACCCCAGTTAATATGACTTTAAAGGGGTCATAGTGCTATCAATATCCAAATTAACTAAGTAATCTTTTTGCGATAAATGTACTTCACCTTTTGCTATTGGAACAATTTCTCTATGTACTGGACTAGCATAATAAACAGCGAGGACAGAACAAACCTCAATGAGTCTGATGTTCTCCTTTAGTGTCTCGGCACTCTGTTCACCCTCTTGATTACCATCTGTTGCTGGTGGTGGTACATCATCCGTCTTATCAAACAAAAGCAACAGTAACCATTGATGACTACCAGGTTCTGAGACATTGTGTTCAATAACATACTCAAAGTGACATAAATAATTTATTACATAACTGTATATACCAACTGAAGGCAAAACATATAATTATTATGTATGTATGCCCCCGGGAATTGTTATTTGTACCCCTGGGAATTGCTATTTGTACTCCTTGGAATAGTTATTTGTAGACTTACATTTTTAACACCCTGTAGTTGTTTGATCTTTGCCTTTAGATTCATCTGATCCTTAGCAAGTCTCATGGCTAACTTTCTTGCTTCTTTGTTGAGTGCTAGACCAGCATTGTGTTCTGTTGTAAGCTTTCTTACCTAACAAAAGTTTCACAAATTAAAAGACAATTTATAACAGATATTCAGCACACTCAGTCTGATGACTGTTATCACTTAAGTCATAAGTAGAGATAAGATTAGGCACAACCCGTCATAATGTCAACAGTTTCTTAGATAATCTGTTATGGCATTGATTGTGTTAAATAACTAAGCAAGTCAGTCACTTGATCAGTCAGTACTATCCATATCCAAGGAATAAGGCAACTGATACAAGAATAATAAATATACTTTAGGAAACAAGCCAGAAGCTTACTTTATCATGTTTGCAAGATTCAAACTCATATTGAACAACTTCTGAAAACACTTTATTCTTTGCCAGGAATGACTGAAGGGATACATCTCTGTTAATCTGGAAATAACATGATAAAAACTACTTTATTAGACTACTACTCAATATTCAGGCTTCTTAGAAATCATTTCTGCAATTAGAGAGATCAGATGCACAATCATAGATAGACCCGAACAAAAAGGAAGCATGAAAGAGAAGAGTGTTGCAGTGAAACCTGTATTTGACAGACACCCTTGGGACCCTCACTAGTGTCAGATTAATACAGGGTGTCCATTCAAAACAGGTTCTAATATGTTATGCAATAATAGTTAATTTTTAACTCTTTGTAACATAGTGTAACACAGCGTAAGATCAAACACTGCTCATAGGAGAATTTCCAGTCAGTCAATGCATCAATCACTTAGCTTTAAAACAACATCGCTGAACAATGTTAAGGGAGTCTCAGCTAGACCTTTAGAAGTAAAAAGCTCTTGAAGTGTCTGCTTATTGTAGGTTTTGCACCACAAAATGTCTCAATGCAACAATGTATTGGTGTCTGCTCCGCTTAACAGAGGTGTCCACTGAATGCAGGTTTATTTTACAGTAAATATGGGAAGAAAAGTTTGGGACTCAAGCTGGTGTCCACTTAATAGAAGGTGTCTGCTTAATATGGGGTCCGCTCACTGTATTGGAATTCATGAGAACTGCAGTGAAGCTGCATTAGTAAACTTTGGTTGGCTGGGTAAGGTACACAGCCTTACAAATTAATGGTGGGAGAAAGGAAAAGAATGTATGTATCCTACAACCTTGGACACTCCCTTAAAACCACTAGTAGTTTCATTTTAAATTAACAACATTATAGATAACTATTCAGCTTACAGTGTTTGCATGTGATACCACTGTTTCAAATCCCAGCATGGCATTCTTGCAAGCATCAACTTCAACTTGACCAAGTGTGGTGAAGTATCCTCTTAACTGGTCAAAAAAATCGCCGTCTAAAGTCTGCAATATAGGAAACAAATCAGCATGATTTATTTGCCATTGCACTGTATGTTCCAAAATATACAACAGTTGAAAATAACATGACTTAGTGGGATAGTTTTTGCGACTTACAATAAATTATTAAAATACAATTAATTTTTTTAAGCTAAGTCTGTGTATATGACAGTATATATCTAAATTATGGAAAAAATAAGACAGATTTTATAAAATATATTTACTAGGTACATTTTACAGTTATTATTATTATTTATTTGTGAGCTTAAGAATTCATCACTAACATCATCATCGTCATCGTCATCGTCATCATCATCATCATTTTATTTCTTAATAAAATCTACATTTTACAGTTGGACTGGCTCGCAAACAGCTATGCTAGTCTAAGCGGGCCAGTCTGTCAATAGTTACAAATGATTTATTATTACTACTTTCATTGTATACAGATGGGTAGTTGTTTTTACAGCATAACTTACAGACATAATGTCTTCTAACTCCTTGCAGAAGTATCTTGTCATGTGTGCATTAGCTGCAGCCAGTAATAAAATGTATTCATTCCTAGCCATTNTCATCATCATCATCATTTTATTTCTCAATAAAATCTACATTTTACAGTTGGAATGGCCCGCAAACAGCTATGCTAGTCTAAGCGGACCAGTCTATCAATAGTTACAAATGATTTATTATTACTTTCATTGTATACAGGTGGGTAGTTGTTTTTACAGCATAACTTACAGACATAATGTCTTCTAACTCCTTGCAGAAGTATCTTGTCATGTGTGCATTAGCTGCAGCCAGTAATAAAATGTATTCATTCCTAGCCATTGCTGTTCGTCTCTCACATATCTCACGCCTACTGGAACTCTGTGAAGGTTAAGAACAAGAATGAACATTGATAACTATGAGTAAATGATATTTCAATGTGACCCTTGTATTAGTATTCCAGTCTGCACTGGGCAGTGTTGAGAATTTATTTTTGTTTTGTTGATTCATGTAAGATGGCTCAAGACAGCACAAAATGTAACATTTTGCAACTCACGTTAAACGCCATTATGAGTGCAAAGCTTTACACTCCATTCTTACTGATTAATTCAATAAATGACAAAACTTTGAGCTGTAGTAATCAAAGAAACTGTTCAACAACAACAACAAAAATAAAATGCCACAAGATCGACAAGGTAAGTGGTTGGTAAAGATCAACATTGA